GATGCGATGGCGAGCAGTATCTGATCAGCATCTGATTTCTTCTTTAGGAAAGCTCCCTTTTGCACTCTTGGGAAATTCTTTGTCTGATGGTTCCGGACCGGCAACATGTTCAGTGCATCGACGATGCCTCGGCAGCCTGATCCAAGTTAGACGATGGTTATCCCCCTTGCGGTCATGTTGACTACACTTCGGGTATTATCCTCTTGCCGGAAGCGATTCTTCTTGGAAACCTTTGGTTTGGAGAAGTCTCTCGAACACCGAGATTCTTGTTGGGTCTGAGAGACAACAACATTCGCGACAGTACCGCCTTGATAATGTTGCACACGTCGCAGTGGGACTCTGGATCCTGCCATGTATCAGCTTCGGAGATTTTTCCAACACCCCAGCCCTGTAGTACAGCTCATCGATTTGATTAACTGGAGCAACCTACGAAGTGCTGGTGGGTGTCCCTCGGTGATAACATGTCAATCCCAGACGAGTGTGTTTCCCTTTGGCGAATGCAAAAATGCTTATAGATTTTTCAAGAGTGGCCCGTCAATTTTACGCTTTTGGAGACGCTAGAAAGCGAACGGGCTCTTCAGTTCGACTCGCAACCAGTGCGGTCGATGATAGGGGCTTCCTTTTTCATCTTTCTTGGGGATTGAATCGACCCCCTGTTGTTCTTTAACTTGGGGAGCCTTTCAATGGTCCCAGCCGTTTCTTTGAGGTATCTTCCTTGGTTCTCGTAAGGACCAAGGCGACCGGCAAAGGACCCTGGGATCTTGAATGATCCCCCTTTTTACCTGACTCCAGTGAGGTGCCGTAAGGAGGAGTATGCTTGATTGGTTAATCTGGGCGTATCTTGCCCTTCTTGCTGAAGTGTTGCGCTTGATTAGGAACCCACACCAATCTGCCTTTGGACGGCGTTTTGACCGCCGGTTTCTCCTGCATCTTCCTCCTTTCAGGGAGCGGGCATGTGCGAGTAGGCCGACGCCCACGGCAGCTTCTGATTCCGCTCTCGAGCGTGGAGCGCGTTCCTCTTGCCGGATCATTCACTTGCTTCTGGTTTTGGAGGGCGGTATTGCTTGCCGTGCCTCTTGTCGCTGCTCGACTCAGCATCCTCTGCCATGCGAACTCCATCTTTGACTCCTTGCGCCCTGGCGAGTGTGAGCGAGGCGTTGCGGCGTTTGATCGCCCTTTTTGATAGAGTTGGAGCCAGCATCTCCATTGCCTTTGGGATTGGAGGGCCGCGGCCTACAGCCTTATACCACGCTAATCGACGGCGACGGTGCGTGGTACGGGGTAGTGCAGCGGGGCTCTTGGGATTGATGATGGAGATCCCCGAGCCTTTTGGGAGAATCGAGTTCCTACGCCGTGCTCGGAGAGCGGGATCTGGAAGAAGGAGCGAGAGGCTACTCTTCGTACTGTCTGCTGGTCGAACTCGTACTCGACCTCTTCGTTCAACCCGGAATCCTTGTAGGACCGTTTGCGTTCCGCGATCTCGGCAGATCGTTGGCCCACTGTGGTCGCCAGCCTTGTTTCCGTCGTAAAGTTGCTGTTTCATTGCGCTTTTTTTGAAATCTTACAAACTTCGGTTCGTTTACAACAGAAGAAAATTGAAAACAAAATGAATTACACTTAACGAAAATAAACACGAGGTTCCCGGTTGGCGTCTCGCTGGCTGTGGGTTGTCCTGTGACGGGGTGTTGATATCCGTGGCCGCCGACTCTTCAAGATCCTTCCGGGAAAATCGCAGAGCTGCCATTATCCGCGTGGGATATAGAAGCAGAAAACTTCGTCGATCTCCGCCGTGAGTGAGATCTAGAAGTGTTAAAGCGATAATCTCGGTAACGAATAGTAAGCTCTTCTTCGGTATCGCCGCGAAGCGCGAAATACCAAGGACAGAAGGGGTGTGAACGAAGGGTTCGTTGATGAAGACTCTCACTCCTCGATCCGGCAGGGCTCGCCGCTCTCCTGCAGACTCTGATCCTCATCCGGCACAGCGGCTTCGCCGCCACTCTTGCCAGAACGAATCCTTGGCTAGGATAATTCGCATTGAATCGATGCAAAATCAGGGAGCCCTTCACAAAGGAGGCTAGAGGCTTTATAGGAAACAAGAGAGGGGGGGGCTGTTTTGAGACACCCCTAGGGGGGTGTCTTCGGCCTTGGCCGAGACACCCTTTGGCGGTGTCTCGCCAGGCCGAGACACCCCTTGGCGGTGTCTCGCCAGGCCGAAGACACCCTGGGTGTCGTCGGCCGGCCGAGGGACACCCCCTTGGGTGTCTCGGTTTGGCGAGACACCCCTGGGGGGTTCTCGGCCAGCGCGAACACCTTTGGGTGTCTCGGCCAAGCCCCGAGACACCCTAGGGATGTCCGGCCTGCCGAGACACCTTGGGGTGTCTCGCCTGCCCGAGACACCCTGGGGTGTCTTGCTTGCCAAGACACCCCTCGGGTGTTCTCTGCGCCTGCCGAACCCATTGGTTCCCAACGCTGTCCGGGCTGTGCGTTGTTCTGCCGTTGGACTCGGCCGGATTGACTTTCAGTCCGAACCTCGGATTGATGAGTTCGGTCATTCGTTGAATCGGTGACGGAAGCTCTGTAGCCCCGAATGGTTGGCTTATCAGTGGGGTGTGACATGCCGGGTGTTGGTTCAATGCGGTGATCGCGGGTTTCGGTCAACCGTATCCCCGGAACTTGCTGACATTTGTCGGCTCAACGTAGTCGTCGCGTTCGCTTCAGGTGCTCACCGCAGGTCATTTGAGCTCTTGGGAACTGGGGTGTAGCGTCGTCCGATGTCGATCGTGAACACCGAGCTGTGAGTGGGGGAACCTATCGGCAATTTTCCCGATGCCTACAGAATTCAGAGTCGACCCTGGTTCTGCTTGAGCATCATACCTTGAGGCCCTCATTCGCCATCTTGGGTCCCACTTCATCGATTGTTCAACAATGAGACACCCACTTTATTATTGGCTTCAATACTACAAAACTAATTTTTTTTTCCATTTGAAAATAAATGCCTAAATGAGATTACGCGATTTGAGATTATTTGTATATGAATTAGTACTAAAGATTTGCAAAAGATACACTAATTTTTTTCTATTATAAGTTAGATATATATATATATATATATATATATATATATAATATATATATATATATATAATATATATATTATAATATATTATAATATATATTATATATATATATATATAAGATAGAGTGCATAGATTCAAATTTATATTTTAGGTTTCTAAATTGAAAATCCACACTATCTGCTGTAATCTAATACACATGAACTTCTTGTAAATAAAAAAATTCCTATGATTTTGACATGTTTCACACTGTTTATAAGGGATAAAAAGTTATCATTATCTTGAATACTATTGATAGTAGCAAGCTCAACTCATTGAGATTGATTTAAGAGTAAATTTAACAAAAAATAAAAATAAAATTAAGAGTTGAAAAGTTCAAAAATTAGCTTGCACCTGTCACATGAAAAATTTCAAACAATTCCACAATTGAAGATATTAAAGTTCAAATTTTAAAAACTTTAAGATTGCTAAAAGACAAGTTAGGGTATATAATTGCAAAGTAGGGCAAATGATGAGGTAACTAAGGCTTGGTTTGGTAGGAGGGGAGACAGAGTAAGGTAAGAGACAAAATTTAAAATCTTCTTTGGTAGTAACTTTTCAGAGGGTAAGGTGAAGTAGAGTAAGGGAGTGTTTGGTTCACCGATTTTATAGAAAAGTGTTGGGAAAACACCTGGAAATGGCATTTTTTATAAATAATGAATTTTCGTAAATTTCTATAAATTGTGTTTAGTTCAAGAAGTTTTTATAGAAATATTTTCTATAAAGTAGGAAAAAGGGGGGTATTTAATAGAATTCAACTTCCTCTCCAAATAGACTGAAATTGCCTAGAAATCTGACATTTATATTAAAAAAATAATTAAGAACACATGTATCTCATTTCTCCACCCCCAAGTGATTTCTCTTGGGCATTTGTAAGCAGAAAAGGTTAGGAACTTATTTTTAATGAAGTGATATCCAACCAAGCAAAAGAAAAAGAAAACAACCTATTTTCTATAAAGTTAAAAACTTATTTTCATGTTTTGAACCAAACAATAAAAAAACAAAATATAAGAAAAGTAATATTCCTTGAGTTCTATAAACTTCCTACAAATTTTAATAGAAATACAAGGAAATCAAAATTTGGGCACTTTTCTTTTTCCTTTTTTCTTTTAGGGGGCTGTTTGGTTCATTTTCTAGATATAGGGAAATGTATTTCCATGTACAAAAACACAAGTTTTGAGTTTTCCAAACTTTTTTAAGAAATAGATTGTTTCGCTTTGGTTCGCACAAAAAAAATGGTGGGAAACCAATGTATTTATTTTTCTTGTGTTTGGTTCGCATGGAAAAAAAGGAAAAACTTTTGTATATATGGAAAAAAACGTGGCTGCAGTTTTCGTCGATTTCACGAGGCTGTGGAAGGAATTGGGGGAGAGAAAAAATATGATGTGGCGGCGATTTTCACCGAGTTTCCCTTCTTCAACCCTAGCGAACCAAAGATGAGAAAAAAAAACCGACGGAAAGCTTATATCCTACGTGGCCACGAAAAATCTGATGTGGAGGCGGTGTAAAAATTTTCCACCGAGTTAAAAAACGAACCAAACAGCCCCTAGAAATCAAATTAAACAACCCTTATAGTGAGGTGAGGAGAGAGAAAACATAAAATAAACTAGAAACTGAATAGAGAGAAAATCTCTCTAATTTGGAGGGATACAAGAGTGAGGAGAGAAAAGATGCAAAATGAACTAAAAAATCACGCTCCTCTCCTTACTCCCTCTAGAACTAAAAAAAAAAAAAAATCACTCGTTATATCTCTTTCAACCTTACACTACCTTATGTTATTTCTTACTTGTACCTCCTACCAAAGCAACGCTAAACGGTAATTAACCATTTTCTCCATCTCACCTTTTATAGCTATAGATGCTCAACGACTTTGAACTTCTAAGCCTCATTAACACAATCCAAAAGGGAAATGCTCTTCATAGCAAGCTCTCATCCCTCCCCTCTCCCTCTCCCTCTCCCTCTCCCTCCCCTCTCCAAATTCAAAACCCACCACCAAACCAACCAACTCCACGCCCACCTCATCACCACTGGCCTCACCCGCAACCCTTCTCTCTCCTCCAACCTCATCCTCTCTCTCCTCTCCTCCCCCCTCTCCCCCCATCCCCACCTCGCCCATCGCCTCTTCTTCTCCTCTCTCTCGACCCAAACAACCCACCCGCAATTCCTCTTCAACGCCATCCTCAAATCCCTCTCCCCCCTCGACTCCATCCTCACCTTCTCCTTGATGCTCTCTCACAACGTACCCCCCAACAAGTTCACACTCTCCATCATCCTCAAAGCCTGCTCTAAATCAAACTCCTTCGAACAAGGGGCCATGATTCATTCGTTCGTAATAAAGTCTGGGTTGGGTTCCAACATCTATTTGCACAACGCCCTGGTTGCGTTCTACGCGAAATGCGGGTGTTTGGAGATTGCCCGCCAAGTGTTTGATAGAATTGGTGTCAAGGATTCGGTGTCGTGGAATTCGATGATTGATGGGTATTTGAAGAGTGGGAGGTTGGAGATCGCGAAGGGGATTTTCGATGGGATGAGGGATGGGGACCGGAATTTGGTGACGTGGAATACGATGATTGGTGGGTATTTGTTGTTTCGCGGAGATTCGCGGATTGGGCTTGCGAGAGAAATGTTTGATCGAATGCCTGAGAGGGATTCGGTTTCTTGGAATTTGATGATTGATGGGTATGCAAAGTGTCGTAGGATGAATGATGCACTTGAATTATTTGAGAAAATGCCCCAAAAAAATGTGATTTCTTGGGCTACTGTGATTGCTGGTTACATGGATATTGGATCGATCGATAAGGCTCTGATATTGTTTGAGGAAATGCCTGAGAGAGATGTGGTTGCTTGGAACATAATGTTGGCAGGTTATGTCAAAAACGGTAAATTTATCGAAGCATTGCATCTCTTTAATGAAATGGGGAAACTCAGCAGCCTGGCCCCTGATTGCACAACCCTGGCTATTGTTCTCTCAGCTATATCAGAATTGGGACGAATACAAGACGGGATTGCTGTTCACAAGTATATTAAACGAAACCGCTTGCCTTTAAATGGAAAACTAAGTGTTGGTCTTATCGACATGTACTCAAAATGTGGAAGGCTAGAGGAAGCTCTACAAGTGTTTGCGATATGTAGAACAAGCATCGACCAATGGAATGCGATGATTTGTGGACTGGCAATCCACGGATATGGAAAATTGGCTCTCAAGCTTTTCTATGAGATGGAGAGGCTTTCTTTGAAGCCTGATGATATCACATTCATTGGTGTTCTCAATGCCTGTAGCCATTCGGGATTGGTTAACGAGGGCTTGATGTGTTTCGATATAATTAGGGGAAAATATCGCCTGGAACCAAAAATGCAACATTATGGATGCATCGTTGATATCCTAGGTCGAGCAGGGAGGTTAGAAGAAGCATGGGGACTGATCGAAGAGATGCCATTCGAGCCAAATGATGTGATATGGAAATCTTTGTTGAGTTCTTGTAGAAAATATGGAGATTTTGACATGGGCTTGAAAATTGCTAGGGTTTTAACTGAGAGGAGCTCTTGTAGTTCTAGTTCATATTTGTTATTATCACATGTCTATGCTGAGATCGGGATGTGGAGAGAAGCAAGAAATGTGAGGATGATGATGAAGGAGAGGGATATGATCAAGGTTCCAGGATGCAGTTGGATTGAACTTGATGGTGTTATGTATGAATTTGTTGTGGGAGATAATTCTCATCCTAGCGCAAAAGAAGCATATTCTATGTTGGAGCATTTGTGTAAATTTGAATTGTATGATTCACACTCTATGTACAGTATACAACAACGTTGACATATATAACATGATATTCTTTCATATAGGAAATTTCAGAGTTTTTTTATTTATTTATATACTCTAAGTAGGGATGCAAAAAAGATGTAGATTTAACAACAGCCAAAACATCGACATAAAATTTATGTCTTAAATTTTGTTTTTGTGTGCTTTTGGTGGAATTTGAATTAGGATTCTTCTTACACTTCTTTATATAGTAAAGACTACTACTACAATGCAAATCCTCTATGGAAACAAACAACTATAATATCATTGCATTAGCTCATCAATTGAGCTCCATGAAAATTAACAATTGACCTAGAATTGTCTACTCAAGATGAGTAACATTATTCTTCAATTACACAAGTTTCTTTCGTTCATTGTTTCTTCTTGCAAGGAGGAAGAGGTTGGCCACATAAGCACAAGTTGCCAGCATAAGCAACGGGTTTAAAGGCATTGAAAGGCCTTCTCTGAGGTATCTCTCCACACAGCCTGTTACTTCTGAAATTTACATGTCTGATATTTTCCAGCATTGTAAAGCTTTGCGGTATTTTGCCCGTTAACCCATTGTTCGATAAATCAAGCCAATTTAGACTCCTCATTGATCCAACAGTTTCAGGGATCGAGCCCTTGATCAGATTTCTCGAAAGATCCAGCCTCTCTAGAGAAGTTAGCCTGGAAACAGTGCTTGGTATTTGTCCTGTAATCCGATTCCTTGACAGGTTTATTGATTTCAGATATAACTGTTCTTTGAATTCAGATAATTTATCACTGATCTTGTTGTTTGAGAGATCCAATTCTCGAAGAGAAGATTTCTGCAGCAAAATTGAGACAGACCCAAACAACTGATTCGAATGGAGATCAAGTGAGGATAAGATTTCTGGCAATATGATTTCTGATATATTTGTTATGATCATGTTATTTGAAAGTTTAAGGGTTTGCAAGCTTGTCATGTTGGCGAAAACATTGCTGATTGTTCCTGTGATTGAATTTTTTGAGAGATCTAAGGAGCCTAAGGTATCGGGTTGTTTGAATATGGGCAGGTTTCCTTTGATATTGCAACCTGCAAGGTTAAGACTAGTGAGCTTTTTTGTTCTCAACCAATCTGGGATTTTTCCTAACTGAAGGTTGTTATAAGACAAATCTACGGAGGAGAGTGAAGGTAATCCTTTTGAAAGAGAACCTGGCAAAGGATCTCTAAGCCCATTGCTTGAGAGATTGAGAAGCCAAAGGTTCGATAATTTGGCTAACGATTCTGGAATTGTACCGGTTAGAGAATTATTAGCAATCGAGAGACTAGAAAGAGACTTAAGATTGCTGATCTGGTCAGGGATTTTACCAGTGAGCTTATTATGATTCAAATTGATCGATGAAACCGAAGGAAGATAACATAGGGATATCGGTATCTCTCCTGAGAACTGATTGTTCGAGAGGTCAATGTAAGAGAGATTTCGAAACTGTGAACTGAAACTCGGAAGCTTACCAGAAAACAGATTGTTACTGAGATCAAGAACCTGCAAGCTTGGGTTGATGAATGAGGACGGAATAGAACCTGTCAACAAATTTCTCGAGACAGTGAGCTGAACCAAGCTTTTCAAAGTTGCCAGGCTCGGAGGCAGCTGCCCTCGCAACTTGTTTCCGCTCAACGATAAATATCTCAGCGAATGCAGAGAGCCCAAGCTCGCAGGAATTTTACCATCGAGCAAATTGTCTTCAAGATAGAGTTGTTTGAGCCCGGTAAGATTCGAGAAACTCTCAGGAATGTTGCCAGCGATCTTCATTCCGCTTATAATCATCGTCTCCAAGAATTTCATGCTGCCCAATGCAGGAGATAAAATCCCCTTCATCACGAAAACAGAGCTCCCTGCCGCGCTTTGGAGTTGCAGGCCGATGACATGTCCAGACTTCGGATTGCAAGTAACACCCTCCCAAGCGCCGCTGCAGCAATCAAGTGCTCTCCACGAGGATAAAATCCCCGTCGTGTCCTTAACAATGCCAGCTTTAAAACTGAGCAACGCAGCTCTGTCGTCCTCTGAGCACAACAATGCAGAGCTCACAATCTTGCCTGATATCGATATGATCAGGAATTGAAGTGCAAGGCAAAGTTTCCATTTCGGGGACCTCATTTTCTGAAAGTGGATGATGAGAGCCTGAGATTTTTTGTGGTGGTGTTTTCAGGTTGTTTCTTAACGTAGAGAGGAAGTTTGTATGATGAAAAGTGCATTGCTAGAGTCGTATTTATAATGAGAATGGGGGTTCGAGGCTTAGCTTTTACTGTGTTCACATGTATTTTTTATTTGATTCACGAGGGGTTACAGTTAATTTCGGAACGTTGGAGCGTTTGGCGCTTGAAAATTGGGTTAATTGCTGACAGACCCCAGTACTATCGCCCACTTGCGGATAGACCCCCTATTCTTCTATTGCCGCTTTTCCTGAGTGAATTTTTACTGACTCGTCAACCCTGAAGAGTTCTATTTGTGAGAACACAACTTTCTCTTTCTCTGAGAGTAAAGGAGTCGTGAAATAAAATCACCGAGGATCTATCTGCAGCAATAGAACTACAAGGGATCAAGGGACAATTGGAAGAAAAAAATATAAGGGGTCTGTCCGCAAGTAACCCTTGAAAAATTTTAATAATAAACCAGTCAATTTTATGGGTGATACTTTTCTTGAAGAAATTGACAAAGCTATGAAGGAACATGGGATGATTGGCTACAAATGTAGAGTGGGCGGTCTTGCTTTTTTAAACTTTTGAGATCTTATTCTGATTATGATTTCTTATGAGTTGTTATGCAAGTCTCTGTTCTCTCTCCCCTTTTTGTCTTTCATACTGTTTTCATATGAGTGAAGGGGGTAATCAACAATGATTTATTTATCCTTCGTTGATGGATAGCTCATGCATTGCTACTGCCGACTATAACAGGAGCCCGACATAAAATTATAATATTCAATAATGCAATACACACTAATAGGAAAAATGAATGAAATAACAGAGTTATTTTAAACTTTCTAGGTCATATCGAAAGAATATAATGACTATGCTTTCAACTCAAATATTGAACGTACCAAGAAGAGCGCATCACGTGAAGTGGAGTTGTGGTGTGATCACATATCGTTGCATAGATATCAATAATTATTTGCGAATTTCTAGTTTATTTCCATCCCTCCATCCCTAAATTTCACCATCAATAAATCTCAATCTCCAGCCTTTTCTCAAAATAATAATAATAATAAATAAAATAAAATAAAAAAATAAAAAATCCCAAGCTTTTCTACAATCTCAAAGCTTGATGCAGTCCACGTGATTTAAATTAATATCAGAACAATGCAGATACAATCATATCAAAATAATATCAGAGCAATGCAGATTCAATCACATCACGTCTTTTTTTCTATTTAAAAGAAGTAGCTACAAAAATGAAATAATTTCAACAGAAACTTGACCATGCCAATCTGACAGTACATAATGAGCTCAGACCAAAGGCTATGGGCCATATAATTTGACCGTTTGGTAACGAGACATGAAACCATCATCATAGCTTCCGATTGGATGCAGGCATTATTTCAAATTATTTTTCTTTTCGGAAAAAATCTAATTAGTAAAGTACTTAAGAGGCTAGTTTACCAATTTACTTCCTCCTCGCTTAAGATTGATCAAATAAGGGGCTTTTTTGGTTCATAAAAAGGCCTTGCTATTGCCAGCACCTCAACATTAAATTAAAATGAAATGAACGAGCGTACTTGGGAAAAGCCTTGCTCTCTTCCTCTTGTCTTTTAATGGCATCTTTCAAAAATTTCTAAAAGAGCCGAAAAAGCTTATACTTACACCCTTCAACTAAGAGAAGAACGTTCTGTAAAGCAAGTTTGTGGGTCTATTTGCTTCATTCTTCAAGGTCGCTGTTGCTGACTTTAATGCTGCATCCTTTATGTTCTTTTTAGAATAACGGTTTATATAATAAGTTCCCCACAATTTGTTAAATTGCTTATTATAACAATTCCAAATACAAAATAATAACAATAACAATAAAAAAAAGGGTACAAATTACGAGACCAAAAACAGATCGTCCATGTTAGGGCATCTCCAACAGCTTCTCAAAAATTTTCTTTAAAATGGGGAAGCAAAAGTCATATTCTCCAACTAATTTTTACACAAACTTTAACAGCTTCTCCATTTTGAAGAATCTCTTTTTTCCTTCAAAAATTTAAAGAATGCTGTAGATTTGGGGAAGCTTCCCCATTTTTTTCTCCTCCATCCCTATTTTGGGGAATGAGACGAGGAATCTGTTGGACCAAAAACCTAACTAAATTCTCCAAAAGTGGGAAATGGACAAGCTGTTGGAGATGCTCTTAAAGGCCATACACAGTGTTCTCGTCTGAACAAAATGTTCATATCCAGACAATTGAAAGGTTGTAAACAAACTCAAATATATTTTATTTTAAAAAAACCAACGCGGAGCTGATAAAATACACAAAGAAAAGCAAAGCATTATCTTAGCGCTGTGCAAAAGATGCAGAAATATATACTGAAAACCATGTAGTTAGTTTACAGCATCCATGCTGTCGCTAGGGCTTTGCTCTCTCATCTTAAAACCATAGCTCGCTAATATTCTGGCATTTGTCACCATTTTCAAAGAAAAGTATCAAAAGAAGGATCAAAAAAGCTTTCTCAGCGGCAACGATCAAGTGGCAGAGTAGGCCAGGGAACATAATAATCAAAAAGTACCGCACTTTCCTTCTTGACGAACAAGGGACGTGCACAAAATAATCAAAAAGTAACGCACATCTGTGTGAGTCTTCACGGAGCAAATTGTGCAGGGTGCATAGAGAACCTATGCTGGGTCCCTTAGATTTTGACTAGACCCACTGTGTAACGGGGGAAGGAATCATACAGAAAGAATTCTATAAAAAGATCCACAGCGAGCAAGGGAAAACTTAAATATGTCCGAACATGCAGTCGATATAATATCCTGTATTCACTGAATAATGAAGCAGTCACTTCATTTCTTAATTAAAGGACAGACAAACAGGCCACATAACTAGGCACAAACAAGAGGATACCGTGGAAAAGGACTTGCAGGGGACTGAGAGGTTCAGGTTAATGCTTCTGTTGCCAAGAGACCAATCAAAGTTCTATTTTGAAGTATTAGGATAAACAATTTTAAAATGAAAAGGAAATAACAGTGCAACACATTGTTTGCTACCAGAGAACCTATAGCTTCATTGAAGCAAATAAATGCCATTTTCCCTCAATGGATCAGATAGTTGTTGCTACAAAGCATAAGCCATGTTACAATTCGTCAATTCCATCAAATACCTGACGAAAAATAAGGGGGAAAAAGAGGGGGGGAAAAACTAACCACTTTCAATCTAATCAATGGGTTGCTGTGGTCATTCAGCATGGAAGTACAACATACAACGTTTGGACACTGTGATCTCTTTCTAGGGAGCTACTCCCACTTGTTACTAGATGAGTGGTCATACGAATATGAATCGGTAAAAACAGCTGCCAGCAATTGTAAGTAAACACTTGCTAGCTTTGGTCATTACCTCCACTGGAAATCCAAGGCATCCATAAAAAGAAGTCATCAAGACAACTATCTCATAACTGACTGTTTTACAAAAGAACGACCTCCTGAACTGGAAAAAAAGAAAAAGAAAATAAAACGCAAAATGAGAGAAGAAAATTAGGTGAAAACTGATTCAGGCTATGAGAAAGATCATGCAACTTACGAGTATTCAAGATGGATGTTCAAGAACCGAGGGTTCTCCTGGCTTTGGGATAGAGTGACCGAGCCCTCTATAACTTGATCTTGCTGCAAGTCTATTGGATCAAAGAAATAGAGCAATGTCTGGAAAAAGAAAATCAAATCAAATTAAATTGGTATGAAGTAAGAAATAGAAAGACAAAAAGTGGCTTTCAAATGCATACCTGCTGCCAATGTGTTGGGGCATCCTCAGGTGCAGTTGACAGCACAATTGCCTCTTTTCTCTTAGACTGGCTAGAATCATGTGAGTATAAGTCGTTCATATGACTGTTGGAGAACATTGCAGGTCCATTGAACTCCACATCAAACCAGAATGCAAATCCATGGAGAGGGGCTTTCCACGAAAAAAGATGTGGAATATAAGTTTTTTTTTTTTGAACAATTGAACAAATAGATTATCCTTTTCCATTTCTTGTACTGTGGAATAGTAACAAAGTTGTCACCATAAGGACTACAATGCTGAACATGATATTAACCGGATATGGATACGATGGAGCAAGAACTCAAACATCAGATGAAGTGCATCATTTTGAATAATTAACCATACAATATGCCCTCATGTTAGGAAAAACTAGGGAGTAGAAAAAGGATGTTAATGAATGAAAGGTGGATTGACATTTAGGAATACTTTTAGTTCACACCATTGATTGAAATCTATATCTTGGGGTGACGATATTTCTATTATCAACTTAGAATTATTCCTCTCGCATGATATAGATATTAGAAAACAAGAACTCCATTTATAATTAGACTAAAACTGCAAACTTATCCTGACCATAATTTACAGAAGCACACATACTCCATGGTATCTAGATGTATATATTTGATGAGTCTAGGACGAGTGCTCATGCCATCTGAACCTATACAATACCATGAATAGTTTTGGAACCAATAGGTCATACTTGATACCCTTTTTGTGCACAAGCTGCAAACAGCCATATCCTAGGAAAGTATACATGCAGCACTATGGTGAGAACAAAATAACTGCCGTTTTGACACAATCATGCATATGTCGTGAGAAAGCAAACAGCAAGCGATGCTGTAATACGACCCCACATGAAAAACTAGACGGGGAAAAAAAATGGAGCCTGACATAAGAGAATAATAATTAAAATGAAAGATATGCCATTTAAGGAAATTTACCTCGCATCATTGATTCAAATCTATATTTTGCAGTGATAATTTCAAGTTCTTGAGCTGAAACGTTGTAACAATCCACATATTTCACCTGTAATGATGTTCAAAGGCAGTTCTCAGTTGCAGGAGTTAATATCCCAATTCGATACAAATAGAGATACACATTTACTTATTTTTCCATATCCGTGCCAGTAGCATGTCAGACCACTAGCCGATAAGAGAAATCCTCAAAGTGAAAGTATTAGGAAATGGGCAAATATAACTGTTATGTTTATAACAGCATGATCTCATTTATCAGGTTTTGCGGATCGAATTATAGATGGTTTATAACTCAGTTACCAGTAGTTGCGTGCGCATAAAAGTGTGTACGCATAAAGACTGATATGAAATATGCAACTTGATGTGAATTCTAATGATGACAAAACAAAAGTGAGAAAACTAAAAATCCACCACCATTCCTTACATGGTGAAATTCAAATTATTATAAACAAGAATTCTTCATTGACTCGATGTTTTAATATAAATAGACAACATAGTAGATGTAATATTGGAAAACGTTTTAGCACACTGCCTTGGAATGACATATAACTTGCATTTAATGGGAATCGTGTGATTTTCATTTTTGTCACTGTTAAAATGATCTAGGTCCTGTTTAATGATCTGGTTCTTCTAGTTAAGCCGTGGAACTTATAGTTTCCAACTGATATGACTCATATGATCAAAACTCAAATCCTACTTTTGTCCTTGTGAAACTATATACATATATAGAGAGATAGGATTCACTACTTCCGGAAGGATTGGAGACAATCCTTTCTTTTTAGAATTAGCATTTGGCAATTCATATAAGCTATGCGCTTCATTAAAGTTGATCTATGTAATTCAAAAAGTGTAAATTACTAATAAATCAAGCATTTCAAATTTCTTTTCAACCTGCATGACAAATACCGAAATAAATAAAGTGAATATCTAGTTAAGTTGTAGGGCGTTTGAAAACTAACATAAAATAATTATAAAGGTTTTTAGTGTGTAGATAAAAAATCAGATGTTTAGATCAAAAAATTTCATATCCTTAAATGTAGTCCTAAGAAAGCTATCATTTTTTACCATTTATTTATGCTTACTTGAGATATGGGTAAACATCTTGAATTTTGATATCGACACTTAAATGATGTAGATAAAATTTAATAAAGTGGTCCATAAAAATTGATATCCCAAGACTCACCATAAAAAGGTATCGTTCCAAATCCTTCCCAATGGAATCAAAGCCTTCCCCCTCTCACTAAATTTATAAACTTTAGTTACATACTGTTATAACTTGTTATGAATATACATTTCCTGCATTTAAGTGAATACCAGTATATCTCTTTTTATACTGAGAATTTTGTTTCCATGCCAAGCCAATAATTTCACCGCAACATACAACCCTTCTAGAAAAGCCACAGGAATACCCTTAATTGTCTCTAATATTGCAATTACTCCATCCTAGTGATCATCAAGAAAAATTACTTGAATTAGCAACCTACTGGACTATGCATCTAAATCAGAATGATAGACAGCAGTAGCTAATAGACCAAATTACTTCTAGATTCAAGATTCTAGATTAATGAAGAAGGTTGTCTGGAGTCTAGACTATTTTCTCAATCAAGATTAAGAGAGTGTTTGAAGGAGCTTTTTTTTTGTCACACTAGCTTTTAAGTTAGTTTTTTTTATCTACCTGTTTGGTAAAATACCAAATATGTTTAACTTATAAGCCCCATTTTGAAAAACTAGTATACCCTAGCTTCTGAAAAACTAACTTAATACCTCAGAAACTCACCTAAATAAGCTATGTTTGACCAAAAAATTTACAATTCTACCCAAACAAATTTTATAGAATTTTTATCATAAAAGCAAAAAGCTACTAACAGGAAGACCTTCCAAACACCCTCTAATAATCAACAAAATCCTTTTCAAGGGAAGCATATTGAGATTTCTTACACTGGAGATTGTAACAAATTTTGAAACAAAGCCTAGTAAAGCAAGATGCAACAGAAACTAAAATTTAACCATACAACATAGATTAGCATTAGAGAGTTACCACAGATGGCCATGTAAGAACATTTTCTCCAGTGATTGTTTCTACACTAGGCTCTTCAAATGCACACTGTTTGGCAAGTGGCAACATTGCGGACACTGCAAACATCAAGATACATCTTCTTGTCATACCAAAACCAAGTCAGAGAAACCATGTATGGTTTGGAAATTCCCATAACCAGTCTTTTAAGCGAAATCCTATAATTATCTTGATAATACAATGTGAAAATATGTCAAGTACAATTTGTTAATGTGTACATCAATACAGTTGGTCGAACATATAGATTATGCATAACATACAGATATGTGCATGTTCATGTGAATTTATGGGGGGCGTATTTGGGTGTAATATTACTGTTAGCAAACCAAAATCCTCCAATCAGATGTTGTAGTGAGTCATCTACGTCGAAGTGAACTGTTTATCTAAATCCATAATATCTAAAATGCCTAGTAAAGGTAATGTTGATTCAAAGAATCTTCCATCTATCTTCTATTATTTCATACCATACTAAAAAGAGAAAAAATTTAGGTAGGAAGGCAAAGTTGATGATTGATGGGCATGTGGATTACTATATGTGAATCCAGTTCCTCTCGATCAGACCCTACAGCAAGTCAAGTAGAGATTTAACTTTGCTTATATAGATCCATAAAATCTAATATACCTATTCAAGTATTATGGCAATTTTTTTTTTGTTTTTTTTTTTTGGTTTCTCATTCAGAACACACTTCTTTTATTTTATTTTTTTCCTTTTCTTTTCGCAAGTAAATTTTAGAAAAGAAAAAAAAGAAAAAGGAAAAGGAAAAACCAAATAGATCTAGATAAGAGAAAAATCTTGACTGAGATTTATGGTTCTAGATGCATGCATGTGGTTTAACTTTTTACATTGTGGAGGTCAGTACCAACAATGTATAATTATAATTTGCATGGTGTTTTAATGTTAAGAATGCTTCTAAAAAAAGTGGTAGAAAATTAGAATAACCTCTCCAAATTTTTGGTTTAGATTCATCCACATGTTTTAGCTTACAAGAGGAGAGCATGTTTACAAGTCACATAGTGCTCAATTGAGAACTAAACATATTTGTAAGAAATCGCCCATCACCCAAGTGTAAAATATGTGTGCTTGTGCTTGTTGATAGACAACGTGTACTTGATGACATGACCTGCAATGTAAATATCATGTCATGTGCAAATTATGCTAAAAATTGTATGATCTTGTATCCATTCATATGTCGGTATATTTTTGATCGACAATAGAATTTTCAATCCACGCTACCATTGAATGCAGGTGAGTATGAGAATTCCATTTATGTGCCCGCCATTGAGTTTGCATGTGCACAAATGTGCCTGTGTTAACAAAACTTAGACATTGATTTGTGTTCACATTTCCTTTTCCGCTCCAATATTTGTGTTACCTTATCAAAGTTTACCAAAGATGCAGTAACTAATTAATACAGTTAAACATTTGTGGATCTCAGTTAGAGATGCATTCCGTTTTCAATGTTAGAAAGGGATTAGTACTGTGTACTTACTATCAATCCCATAGACATCACGCCAGAAATCAATGCTTTCACTATATCTATCACTATGTGTGACTGGCGCCATGTATAGCTGCAAGAGACAGAAAGCATATCCAGCATAAATCATTTTTCATCACCAATCAGCACACTTAAAACTTTACAATAACTATTTAACATGTACAGCTGAGACCATTTGGTTCATTTCTAAACAGCAACCGCTATGCACTTCAAGAAAAAACTAGAATATATGTTTTACAATCATCATTTGACATTAATATATTTTAAAAAGTAGAGTTCAATTATTTGTGCAGTGCAGTTTTATACAAAACATGAGCTAATTATGATGGTAAGATTTATGGCTATATCCCACATCATTTACCAAGTCGCATATGCATATTCACAGTGTTATCTCATAGAATTATAACCCTCAACCCTCATCAGTCATCACAACTTTGGAGTTTGGTGTAGTACAATGGACCTTAAACATGGTTTCAAAGCGACCCAGGTTCAAATCCCACTGGCTATGAATTTAAAGTGGATTTAGAAAGAAAAAAGGTAATGTTCCGTGAGCATAGTTGCATAGTGCGTGATATAGCAGGTCTTTGGATTCGAAGGGTGGTAGCTTGCTTCGGGATGCAAGTTCGGTTAGTGGTACGTCGTAATCTTTTTTGATGCACTTATCGTTTTCAAATGTATACAGTACAAAACTAGAAACTAGATAGCTAATAATGTATTCCAATATTTTTTCCATACAACATATTTATATACTTCTTTTTTATGGAGTTCTTTCTTTTAATTATGTTTTTCTATTCACATATTACGTGTTGAGATCATGATCTTGTTTCATGTTTTATTAATATAGGTATTTAGTTATAGTAAATTTGTTAGCTTGTATATTCTATTGTGCTTCTCCCTTCACTCGATTTGCACATTGCATTGTGTTTTGCGCATGTGCATTTAAAGGCACTGCCTGCCCGCATACTTTTAAGCGATATGTCAATTTTGGGGAACCAATTCGTGTATCGGAGGAAATTGGTTTGCAAATGCACTGGGAATCAATTCACATGAACTATACGACGGCTCGAGGTAGGGTCTAGGGAATCACGCAATTGTATGCGTGAGTCTAGTTTTTGGCCCATAAAAGGGCGCTCAACCTGCGGGAGCATGTTAGATTATAAAAATATAACAATCTACTCAACACTCATCACAACATTAGTGTTTGGGTGTAACGGAAGGGACCTTAAACACACAGCATACCAATTATGCACATATTTCCAATGATCATAATGAACCTTTTAAATCGGTCGGTTAAACCTTAATAGTTAATACACTATGGCAACAGGAATCCTTTGTTTACGTGGTCACCAAAGTTGACTAGGGCTACAGGCAAAGAACAAATTTCCACTGTCAAGTCAATAATAATATGTAGGTTAATGGGTACGGATACTCCTCTATATCATACAAGTTTAGGCCCTAGCCACGCAACAAGATAAGCAAAGTGCTAACGGCTAATAGTAGGTTTTATGACCGTACAAAGAATGCAAACCAAACAGGATATACTATTAAAAAAAGAAACTGTAATCGAATTAGAATGTACTGAAGGATTCAAATTACAAAGGGAATCAGAACGATTACGGTACGTGACAAACTAATGTCCAAGGTGGTAACTACATGGAACTCAAATGGGATAAAATGGAACTCAACAAAAATCCAGGCTTGTTTTACACCAAGGAAATGTGTACGTTTCAATTTATCTTCCGTCTCTGGAATGAATTCAGATGTGAGACTCAAGGATGGATTTTCAGAAAGCCAATGAACTATTTTATGCAAAATATCTCTCTACAGTAGGAGATGATTCCCTTACCAGTAAAAGAAAATTTCCAACTGATATGGTGCCTCCCCATTGGACTGAGAGAAGCTGTAACTCACAATCCTATAACAACATCTTACCTTTCTTTCGAAATTCCTTCCAAACTATACCTCAGAATCCGTAACTAGAAAGTTAAAAAATTAATTGAATCCTGCCTCCTTCCTCCACCCAAAAAGGAAAATAAGAGAATCCATAGGAGTTTAGCTTGTAGAAGCCTAGAAGGTGATGCTCGAACAATGATTCCAAAAAAGGAAAAGAAATAAAGTGGACAATTTCTCAAGCTGCTAAGTTATTGAGTCTCTGACCTACTTCCCCCTTCTAAATGATATTAACAGCATTACTTTGAATAAAACATGGATATATCTTGGAGGAAACCATATAACTGACCTTGATACACGGCTTACATACCACAACAAAGAATAAGGAAGAAATCAAGAACAAATATAAAAAGAAAGAAAATAATAAAAGTTATTCTACTTGTGTGAGCCAATTAACCGGACATACTGTTGAAGGTGGTCAACTGGCAGTAAGTGTGGCAGTCATTCAGGAGTGACCAAGTGATTGCAAATAAATATTATCAGGGTTTTTACTTGTTGATGCTAACAGAAAGGCACTGATGTTGTTGATGCTAACAGAAAGGCACTGATGGTTCACAATGACAGATTTGATAATTTAACCTGTATTTTGGTATAGATTTAGACTCCATCCAAGGTTATTGAGGACACATTTTGATAATACAGAAATGCCAATTAGTTTAAATGTTTAATTAGCTTGTCCATATTGTAGTTAGACTTGCACTTGTAAAAGTATTCACGGTGTATAATTAATGAAAAAGAATACCCATCCACTATGACACTTGCATGAACATTAGAACATGGTGTATAATTAATGAAAAAGAATACCCATCCACTATGACACTTGCATGAACATTAGATCATGACGAGTCCTTTAAAAGCAGGTCAGGAGGACACAATGATATGACACTAACATAACAATTAAAAATATATACATCTATGCATAAACATGTACAACAACTGCCTTTAATAATATAAAATACATTGTTGTATTTGAGAAAATTGTCTTGATCCTGGAGAGGGATAGTCATACTCTATAGCAAGCTGAACAGAATCCAATTACATAAATCAATGTGGAACTAAACTAATACTACTCTAAGCTACTCTAATGCTAAACCTCAAGATGAAGCATAAATATCTACCATGCCTTGCTTGTTACATAGAAGTGACTAGTTACAATGAGGTGAAATACTTTTTCAGGCAAAGCTTTAAAGAAAACATCAGAAAAAGTAAATTTATGTGAAAAGAGACCATGAGGGTAAAGGGTGAAAAAGCAAGTCAGAAGGTTTTTCTTCCCTCTTTTTATGAGGATGATGACAACATAAATATAATTAAATTCAGCATTGATGTGTGTCTAACTGATTAAAAGAATGTATGTATGCAACAAATGTTTTGCATCAAGGATATGTGCAGACTCTTCCATCTACACTACTGAAATTCATATTTTAAAAATGTCTACCATAAAACTCTTGACAAAACATAGTAAATGGCCTTTTGATTTAGAAATTTACAGAATTGGCTGGAACGCTTCATAATTTTTTTGAGAAACCATTCAGCCTTTAGGGGAAAAATCTAACAAATCTGAAGTGGTTCTATAGAGGTTCACATCAATCCAAGTGACAGTATGGTGTCAGTTGCCAACTTCCTATGATATTCTGAACTGGGTCATCTTGACATCACAATTGCACTCCCTAAAGTGCAACTAGAAGGAACTTACAATGTAAGTGCAATAGAAAATCATGATAGCATATACTTGAATTAGCCGCAAGAGGGGTTATTATAACCTGCATAACAGGTGAAAGTTAAAATTTCAGCAATGAAGCTATATAAATATCTGATAGTTAGGTTGCACCTCCAGTTACAATGCCTTAAATGTCATCACCTTGTAAGAATCTAACTACCTATTTCCCCATAATATAGTTCATTTCTGACTCGTGTATACACCAAATCGATGGACCTACATGATCCACGGATACACCTGTTCTTTTCTTGCTTTCTTCCTGCTCATTCTCTATTTCACTTTTTTACCTTTGGCTTATCAAGCATCCGCTTAATTTTCAACACTTTACCTTAACAACCATTACAAGGTCAAAAGCATGGAAATGCTCTTAAATTACAGCCATGATCCTAATTATTTCAGTGGACTCACATTTCAGATTATTCCTAAACATTTTGTTTTCACAAATAGAGGCGTATTTTGGGCACATGTGATAAACCTGATTGCCAACATTCAAACGTGATCATTACAACCTTTAATAACAGATTATACCTTTATGTGTCATCATTGGTTGAAGTCTTGAAGTTTGTAGACAAAAAAACATGATTAATAATTACATAAGGATTAACAGGCAATTGTTCATCTGCCTGGTTATCGGATTTCAGGACCTATAGTCAGCATTGAGCCTTTGCAGATGTTCTTTATCTTCAATATAACTTTGATTTATTGAAGGCAATTTAATTATTCCTTGAGTCTTATAATTTCATGGTTATTTTGCAAAAAAACTAAAAATAATATAAGTAGGAAGCCCTAGCATTAGTAGGAACTAAGAACTCCCAGGCTCTTAGTCTCATAAAGTATAGATTCAAAAGAATATTGATAATAATAATAATAATAATTTATACAAATAGAAATTCTTTTGCATAGAAGGATTAACAGGCAATTGTTCATCTGCCTGGTTAACGGATTTCAGGACCTATAGTCCGCATTGAGCCTTTGCGGATGTTCTTCATCTTCAATATAAGTTTGATTTATTGAAGACAATTTATTTATTCCTTGAGTCTTATAATTTCATGGTTATTGTGCAAAAAACTAAAAATAATATAAGTAGGAAGTCCTAGCATAAGTAGGAACTAAGAACTCTCAGGCTCTCAGCCTCATAAAGTATATAGCTTCAGAAGAATATTGATGATAATAATAATAATTCATACAATTAGAAATTCTATTGTATAGAAGATTTATAAACAATGTCACTGCTTGAAATAATATTTTACTGAGAATGGTCAACAAAAGAGCTATGAGCACAAGTCCATTCTTTAAGCAGGGCAATCTGTATTTACCCAAGAAAATGTGGATGGTCCTCTAACCTCAGGTGGCAATGACCACCCACTTTAAAAATCCTGCCAAATTGAGCTTAGTCAAAAAATGAT